AAGAGGCTGCCTTGAAATACTATCAAATGATGGAGGAGAAGTTGAAACTCAAGAGGAAGAGAACTGAAGACCAAGAAACTCTTGAAGAAGAAGTGTTGGAAGGAGAGGATCCAAATAAAAAGAGAGGTGTGACCTATCAGATGATCAAGAACAAAGGCCTCACACCTAGAAGGAGGAAGATCGATCGCAACCCCAGGGTCAAGCATCGGGAGAAGTTTCGGCGAGCCAAGATTCGCCGCAAGGGCCAGGTCCGGGAAGTTCGGAGAGAATTGCACAGATATTCTGGGGAACTGTCTGGCATTCGTGCGGGAGTTAAGAAAAGCAGGAAGCTTCAGTGATGTGTATCTTTCTCTGTTCCTGAGAGCTGTGAGCTGTAATACTGAATCCAATAAAAATTTTCTAAAGGATATTGTCTTTTTTTTTTTTTTTTTAATCCTTAAGAAAATGTGGTTTGGGGTGGTATTTGGTTGGTTTTTTTCAGAGGGTGGTGTTTGAGAAGGTGCGACCTCTAAAAGAAGTGTGTGGCAGGCCCTTTCCTCCCCCAGCCTCTGTGTTCAGGTGCTTTCTTGCAATGCTGTTTTCTTTCCTTACTGTAACTGCTGCCTTTGAGAGGCTGCAAGGGCTGTGCCAAGCGAAGGGAATGAAATGGGCTGTGCGGGACTAATGGGTAGGTGGGGTGGGGCGGAGGGACAGACCTCCCGAGGGTGGGTTGAGAATGGGGTTTGTGCATTTGTCTCTGCTTTTTACTCTCTTCTTGTGGTTCATTCTTCCATGTTGGGCTACAGAATGAGGTGGTTCTGGTACTTTCTCTGAATTCTTGTTCTGATTAACTCCTCTGTGTGCTCATACCTTTAAGAAGTAACTACTTTTAGATTCTCTTAAATGATGTAACTAAGCAGAAAGTTATTACTTAAATCCCATGTGGCCTGAGATACCATTTCCCATCCTGAATTCATTCAGAAGCAAAGCAAGGACTTTTCTGGATTGCACAGCTATTCATCTGTAATAAACTTCCTTTATGATAAATGTGTTAACTATTGTCTGCTCTTACAGGTCTAATGTAGCATCCACACAGGACAAACAGGTAAGTTGTAATTTTGTCGTCAGTGTGAAAGTAAATTTTAAAAATGTTTCTGGTACTTCCAGGCCTTCTAGTGCAAAAACATGTTGAACCGCACCCTGAAGTTCTTGCTGGGAGCTGCCTTTGAATGGTCAGTTCCAGTTCAGGCTTTAAAGGAAGAATCACAAATTAAGTTTTCTCAAAAGTTTAATAAACACTGCCTCAGGTGAGACCTGCACTTCTTTCTGGGACAGGTTTCAGGGAGCCTGTGTACAAGTAGCACCTGAAAGGTACCACTGTCTGTCACCTAAGGGGAATAATTGTCTTGTCGGTAAATGTTATTTCATGTTATGGAAGCACCACTATATCTAGGTGGCTTTTTACTGGTGTTTTATTTTGTTGTTTTGTTCTGTTAATCACAGAATGTGGGTTTTTTTTCCTGGGGGAAGCCAAAATGAGTGTGTATGTTTGAACCTCTGACAGGCTAGATGCTGTAACTGAAACACGCAGGTGCTCAGCTCGTTTTCTGCAAGAGAAATGTGCTTCCATAGGTTTGATGTAATCCTTTACACCCTAGGCCTGTTTCTGCAAGGAACATGCTGTTAATTTCTGACTGGAGAATATTTTGTTAATTTTCAAAGGCCCTGCGTTTGTTTACCCCCTGCTTCTTACAGGCCAAACAGCAGTTAAGTGGTGTCTAATAAAATAAAAAATAAATTTCTCCACAGAAACAGGGTAGAAAGCATTGGGAATTGATCTGCATGAAATTGCCCGGGTCACTGAGATGTATGTGAGGCTTGCTTGCAGAGGTCACTGCACATGTCTTGTACTTTGAGCTGTGCTTCAGCTGAGGTGTGTAACCTCTGAGCTGTGGGGATAAAGCTGTCCTTCCCCTGTGCTTCCTCATCCTCCTGGCTTGTGAGCAGCAGTAGGCAGAGGGAGCCATTTGCTCGTCCCAGTGAGGAATGCATGGCTTCTAGTGGGTCCCAGCCTTAGCAAGGAGGGATTTGGAGCTTTTCTCCAGACTGCTCCTTTTATTAACTCAGCACTAGGGTCACATGGAGGCCACCACTGATAATGCTGAGCTATCCGCCTGAGGCTTTGCGAAGAGGTTGGTGAGAGTTAACGTGCTGGGGGTAAAAAAAAAAAAAAGCAGCCGAGGTGCTTTTTCTGGGGAGGAATGGTGTTGTGTGACAGGCATCACACGGCATGCAGAAAATATCCAGCAGAGATGCTAACTCATCTCATTACTACAGCACCTGATTACACGTGTTTCGCACTTGGTGCAAAAGCAAAGGGCTCACCACCTTTCACAGATCTGCAGGCAAACTGTAAGTATTGAGGGTGAGTTTGTGTTCTCTAAAAAAGCCTTAGGCAGCTGGCAAGCTAAATTCTGGCAATGCCCATCTGAGTAATAAATAAGGGAAATCGTAAAATAGTGCGCTGTTAAGGGCTGTGCTCCCCAGAAACGCTGGGATTAAGGCTGGAGGCAAGAGAGAATGCAGCGTATCAGCACGGCTAGGACAGGCAGATGGCACAGCACGTCTTCCCGGACCACTGCGCCAACCCTTTTTAATGAAGATTAAACACAGCATTATGTTCAGCTGGTTAGTTCCAAGATTGGAGAAAGCCATAAATAGTTCATTCCCATATGGTTTTATGTAGGAGTGATCATGGGAAGGCCACGATTATTAATGCTGTGGGAGGGGGGAGACACTGTAATGTAGCTCTAAGAAATACTTCCGAGAAGAATATTTCCTGATGAAAGGAAATCTCTGGGTGGTAAATAGGTTTTGAAGAGCCTTGTCAAAATGGACACGTGCAAAATAGGGGAAGGACTGCAGATAATAGTCAGGAAAATAGCTGAGACTGTCACTGTTAACGCTGTTTGGGCTTTTTTTCTTTCTTCCAGAAGCGTTTCTGGAGAAAGTACTAACGCTGCCAAGTGATGAGATGGCACTTGTCCTCACCAAGCTCCTGCTTTGCAAGCACCGGCTGCCCTGCTCAGAAAGGACCTTTGTGCTGGGCTCTGCCTCAGCGGCATCTTAACACAGGTCAGGTCTCGCATGCTCAGGCAACAGCTGTGCCTCCCCTGAATCGCCACACACACCTGTGGAGACGCTTGCCCCTATGTCCTTTCCACCTGCTTGCTAGGAGGTGATAATTCAAGAGAATCCCATGTCCACTCGCCTGCAAATGAGTCATAATTAAAAAGCGTAGATGTATAGAAAGATCTGAGGAGAGGTATGAGCTACTCTGTTGTATTTCTGTGCCTGGAGAACATAATCCTTGGTGGGTGATAAGCATCCAGAGCAAGCCTGGCTTGCCTTTGGGCAGAAAAAGTACAGTGGCAGAGAGGTGGGCAATGCTTTCTGCATCACAACCAAAGTTTCTGTTTATACGGGGTAAGGAAAATACTGAATAATTCACATGGAAATACATCTGCTGCTGCCTTAAATTTTGTCAAGGCTTTCCCAGTTGTCTCCTCTCATATTCTATCAGCAACAGTCTGGACATTGTTTTACTCTTGCTAGCGCTGGCAAATGGAAATTCAAATGGATTAAAGCATCTGTTAAATTAGTTGCGTGACTTGGGGCAACACTGGGAAAAGCAGTCTCCAGAAATCAGCTGCCTTTAGGGCTTTGCTTGTGGAATTTTTATGTGTGATTTAGAAAGAAAGAAACAGCTTAATGTAATTGCACTGAATGCAGGATATTCTTTAAAAATTGGCAGATTTATTTTAGTTCTTCCTGATTATTGACAGCACTACGGCCCATGTTAATTGCCCCGCCTTAATTAGAAGTCTGTATTGCTGTCTTCAGGAAGGCAATCCCCTATGTGAAATTCCCATTGGTATGGCCTGCTTGGTCATTTTAATAGTAACGAATTGATGTGGACCTTTTTCTTGTCAAAGGATCTGAAAATGATGCTGTCCGTGAGATCTCACCCTCGGGAAAGCAAGGGGAAGCAGGAGAGGGTGTAAAGGCTTTGCTTCATGGCTAAGTCGAAGCATTTGCAGGTCTGACTTCCTCATTGCTGTATGAAGGTGGTTTTTTAAGATTAAACTGTGTTTCCCTTTGAGGGCTCTAGTCCTGCCAAGGTGACTCCATGTGGCCAGGACTGCAGCCTCCCTCCTCCTGGCTTCGTGTAGAGACAGACATCCGTGTGGTGGGAGAGTGCCCGGCCTGGACCCGCAGCTCCCCAGCCCAGCAGCCCGGCTGGCGCTCACCGCAGGCACCTGACGCCGGAACACGAGGTAGCCTTGTCCTTAGTTTGCTTTTTTCTTTTACGTGTGAGCGGGACCAACTGGCAGCGATGAAAAATCAAGTGGTAAGGGTATGGACGAAACAAGACCCTCTCAGGTTAGAAACAAGGTCCTCTCCACACGGCCAGGCCCCCCTGTACCTCTCGGAA